TGTTCAATGAATAGAAGGCGGGGCTTATTTAAAAGTTCCTTATGAAACATTACTATTCATTGCAGTAATAAATATTGGCAACAATGTTATTATATTATATGCGGCATCTATATACCTACTTTATTGATTGATTTTTAAGTAAAATTTTCTACATGTACTTTTATATATCCAACTATATTCATTATATATATATTGTGCGAGTGTTCCCATTGGAATATATTGTTGTGTATTACTGATAACGGGGGTTTTATATTTTAAGTGCAAAGAATTAGGTGGTGCATTATAATGTATATTCTTGTCTTATAAGGTATGAACGACCTCGGTCTTAAAACTTCTACCTCACTTTTAAGGACTTGAGAAAGAATGTTAATTGCTTGCGAATAGATTGTCTTAAAGGGTTAGGAGCAGACTGGAAGTCTGACAGTGTGTAGTCAAGGATTGTCAACATTTTATATTCATGGTTCTGTAGAAGGGTAGAGGTCAGAGGTCATCTCACTGCCTTATCTTTAGAAATTAGTGAAATTAAATGAAATGCTCCCAATTGTTACATAGAACAATAGCGCCCCCGGGTGGTGATTGTGAGGGGAAGGTCTGTGCAAAAAGGACAGAATGACGCCATGCTCCACGTCATTCATCACGTGGAACACGAGACCAAGCCCACATCCCAGGGGGGGATATAGAGAGGGGACCGGGTTCCCAGGGGGGGATATAGAGAGGGGACCGGGTTCCCAGGGGGGGATATAGAGAGGGGACCGGGATCCCACGGGGGGATATAGAGAGGGGACCGGGTTCCCAGGGGGGAGTCAAGATCCAAATTCCAGAGCCAGGTCGAACATCAAGGCAGTAAGCAAATACATTCCGAGGGTAAAGGTGGGAGGCTGAGGACGGCGGTCCCAGGAAACTGAACTAAAGAGAACCTGACTATCCTTTGTGTCTGAACTGTGACCGCTGACTTCTTATAGACAACTGATTATAGTAGATTGCTGGTAAAGTATACTTTGTATCTGTATATTAGGCAGAGCCATACATATATATATATTGGGACAGACCATTGCGTTCTTGTAGGATCTACACTGAGCTGCAGTAATTGTGTCTTCCAATCTGGGGAGATAATTATAGACATTTGTATCATCTCCAGGGAGCTGGTTTCAGTTTCTAGTCTGATATATATGGAATTAAACTGGTAGAAATGTTCCTCTACTTTGATTGGTCCGGGCTTATCGCCAGCCCGGTGCATGATGGGATAAATATCGCCCCTGCGCTGTTAGAGTTGGTGAATATCTGAGCTGGGAGAAGTCACGTCAGTTCTGAGCCTCTTGTTTCCTGATTCTGTGAGATTCGGAGAAGATACTCGTCACATTATATTACATTTCTAAAGTCGTTATATTTTGGTTACATGTTACGCATTCCCTGTGACATCACATTGATTGATATTATCTGATCCATATTCTTTGTTTCTCACCAATTATATTTTACTTTGTTCTGCACTGATTTGTAATTAATAAATATCTATATTTTGTATTCCTCGTGTCTAGGAAGTCGGCGCAGATGAAAGAACTCGCGTACATTGTGATTGATGGAAATAAGTTGGGAATCTCCTTCATTATAGATTCTGATTTCCATAAACATAACACTGTATATCAGAGCGGTATCAACATTCTGACACCCCCA